GTGCATTTCTAAGCCATCGCTTACGCACTGCGGTCACGGGGGCAGCGACTGCAGAGGCCTCTGCAGAGGTGACGTTGGCTTGGATTCGGGCAGGGACAGGGAGAAGGCTCCCAGTGCGGTTGGAAATGTGACCTGACTCTGATTGTTCCCAGCAAGAGCCTGGCAGGTCAATTAGCAGTGGGGCAATATCTCACAGTAAAGAAACAAGGGCCACAGAACGACGGACCTTTGACTTTCCCCCGCCTCTTGTTTGTCTGTACCCACCAGGGTTTATATAACCTTTCTGCCCCTTTCATTCACCTTGAAAACAAGCAAACTGAGCCTTCAAACTTCAGCCTGCAAACTAAGCCTATGATCACCCCCGGGTTCCTCCTGGTTAACAATTTACAACTGACATACTTAAATGTTAGCATTTTGTAGAGAGACTCCCATGGGGTGGGATTTTTGTTTTTTAATCTGGAAGATAGTAGAGAATCCTATTTCCTTCCTCCTTCACTCACTATTAATAAGAAATAATAATTTCAGATTTAATCTCTGCTTTCATCTCAAGAATTAAAGACACAAAAGCAAGGAAGGAAGTACATAGGCGTACAGCTAATCAAACCTGAGGTGGTGGGCCATGCACAGAAATAACTCTAACCTAAGGAAATACTTTTAAAAATCATATTTAGAGTTTTGCAGTGAGACTAGAAACAATGTTGCCAGTCATTGTCAAAAATACAGAAGGATATTTCTTGTCCCTTTTAATATCTGTGACATGGGGTATTTGGGGAGCTAAAATTAGAAACAGTCTTAATACCTCGCCAACAGGGGAGGATGGAAAATAGTTTTGAAAGTGTCATTCATTCATTTACATGTCTGTACATACTTCGTGGAATTTTTGCATATCTAAAAAGTCGAGCAACTTCCACTGGAATTGAGGCCACCTCTTACCTTAAACAATGGGACTCTAGCTCCTCATTTTAAAGGAAACTGCAGAAAAGGAGCTATGTAACTTTCGCATGTTTTCAAAAGTCATTTCAGAGTCTGAGAAAAAGATAGTCAGTGAAGATAGAAAGTGAAAATTACAAGAAGAAAAGTAAAGATTTTTGCTCCTATCCCAATGTCCTGGGAATTGAAAACACCTCAGTGTTTCTAATTTCCCAGACTCAGTCCAGAAGTCAGGGCCCAAGGACCACGGTCACCCTACAGAACCGGAAGCCAAGGGCATACAGAATGGTTAGACTGCCCAGCTCCTCCTTACAATTAAAATAACACTTCAAGCATCCTATTTTTAGGATCATAGAGATAGAGTTGATTTTTGTGAATCTAATCCCTCCATTTTCCTTTTCTTTTAGAGAGATTTTTTGCTATAGGGTGCGTGCACATACCCAAGAGACAGAGATAGAGAGACAGAAAGCAAGAAATCACCCCCAGGGAGGATGGCCATGCCACAATTCCTTCCCCTCCATTCTCCTCTTGGGATTTTGGACATGTACGCATACATGCCCAGTGTGAGTTTGAAGCCACCAGGTCCAGGACACAAACTGCAGTCAACTACATGAGAGTCCAGTGACATAACCATTATGCCATCTGCTGATTACCCCTGTTTTTCAAAAAAGAAAAATGAAACCAAAAAGATACCCCTCCAGCTGCCATGGCTGGTTAGTGGCCAAATCCTGCCCTACCTTGGAATTCAATTTTCCTACACCAATAAGCCTTCATTCTCTCGGTTCTCAAAGAATAAAAGCTAAAAATAGAGGAGGAGGAGGAAGAAAATATACGCACTTCTCTTTTCATATAAAACGACATCTCTCATGCGAATGATTGAGGAAGTCTTGCTGTTTTCCCCCATGATCACGCACTGTTGTTCTTTGCTGTGGTACTGAAATGACCTGCAGAAGACAGAGAATACGCTAACTTTCTCCTTTAGTCAAGGAAAGCACGAGTAAGACACTGCAAAGGAGAAGTAGCTCTGCTGAAGCAGGGAGCTCAGAACCCTGCCTTTCAGTCCATGTTGGTGTCGGTGAGGTTCTGGCGATGAACACAGCAACGCAGTACTCCTCTTGCCCTCTGCTTCCCTTACCATCACCCTCGCTCTTTTTTGTCCCAAGTGTTTTACTCTTTTGTCACTCGTTTTCTTCATTAATGCCAGAGTATTTGTTTTTGTGTTGGAAAGAAACAACCCTGATTAGATGAAGCCCATTCTCACGTTGGCATGACTATGACTTGCAGACTCCTGTCATTTCCCCTTAACCTTTGCCTCTGCGGGCCACACTTTCCCTCTGTCACACACCTTCCCATCCACGTGGTCCTGCCACGAATGCACAGTCAGACATCCCGAGCCGTCCACAGCCACCCTTCCAACCACACGAAGCCTGGAGCTGGCCAACGTGGTCTAGTCACTGCTCCTACCTGAGGGTGTGAGGCATGCCCCTCTCCCTGCTATGACACCTCCCTGCCTTCTCGGGGCTTCTCAAAATCTCACGCATCCTCAGAGCCCCACTCGGTCCCTGGGGCCTCCTCCAGCTGTCTCACCCTCAGAATGGCTGTTGCCTCTGAATCTTTATAAAGCATGCATTGATTATGCCACTTGCCAATTCCTCACATTGGTTGCCTTCTTTCTTTCCTTTCCTTTCCTTTCTTTCTTCTCTTTTCTTTTTTTATTTTGTATCTTATTTCCTTACCATAAATACAAATGGGCAGACCCTGGGTCTTCTATCTCTATGTCTTTGCTCCTAGGATCTGGTACTGCAGAAGACAATTAGAAAATACATGAACTTTTTTCTTTAGTCAAGGAAAGCACAATAAATAAGACATTCACGTGGTCATTAGTAGAGATTTATCACCGGCGGTGGGAAAACTAGAACTCAGAACTATCGCGGCTAAGGTTCATGTGTGTGTAAAAGTAACTAACTTCCTTTTGAGGTATTTTTTCTAAAGGGGACACTAAAAAACCTTAACAAGAAGCTGTTAGTATGACTTCATATTCTGCAAGTATAGTTCCAAACTTCAGTCCCATGAAGTCCTCTTTCCTCTTTGTTATAACTTGTAAAGTTTATTTATTTACTTCTTCCATGAGCCAGAGAGAGACACAGAGAGAAACAGACAGATGATAGCACCCGACGGGGGCCGGCCACTGCTGCCAACCCCAGCCTCTGCCAGCCCCAGGTTGCCCACGCACTAGGGAGGTCTCCAGACATGAACCGGGGACCTTGCCATGAGGCTCAGCCTCACAGAGCATCATGTTTACCATTCCCTCTTTCCACCTAAATTCTATTTTTGTTAATACGTCTGTGAGTAAATTTCTTGTATCTCAGACAGCCAGATTTCTGTACGGCTGTGGCCACAGTGAAAATACCTGCAGACGAATTCCGTTTCCACCTCACACTTCGCAGCACACTCCTCGACACTGCCTGCTCTGAGCTGCTTCCTAGTGACGCTGAACAGCGACGCCCCCTGGGTGTTCACATAGTCATCCAGGCTGTCTCCTTGACCTAAAAATGAAAGACAAAAGCAGAACAATTGGTCAAATTAATCACCACCATGATGTAACTATCATGGCTTTTCAGTCTGTCTCCTTTGTATCAACCAAATGCATGTTATTCAAAGCAAGACGGATAGTTGTGAGTAAAATAGAAAAACAGTTCCATGAACAGACTGTGATATGTTAAGATTGACTAGATCAATCAATGGGTAGAATAGAACTATGTAACAATGTTTATTTTACTGTACTCATAGGCGTGAAAATTTAAATAAGAGTGAATGATAATCTATTTTTTTAGAAAGATTTTTATCATAGGGCATGTGTGCTTGCCAGAGAGACAGAGAGACAGAAAGCAAGAAATCATTCCCAAGGAGATGGCCATGCCACAATCCCCCTCTCCATTCTCCTCTTGGAATTTTGGGCAGGCACGCACACGCACCTGGCATGAGTTTGAAGCCACCAGGTCCCAGACATGAGCTGCTGTAGACTATGTGGGAGTCCAGCAATGTAACTATTATGCCATCTGCTGGTCCTGATAACCATTTTTGTTGTTGTTGTCGTTTGTTTGTTCTTAGGTGTTTGCCATGGGGTGTGTCGCTTGCCAGAGAGAGATAGAGAAAGAGACAGAGAAAGAGAAGTACAGAAATCATTCCCTCAGCGGGGATGGCCATGCCGCAATCCCTTCTCCTTCAGTCTCCCCTCAGGATTTTGGGCATGCACACATATGCACCTGGCATGATTTTCAAGCCACTAGGTCTGGGACTCAAACCACAGTTGGCCATGTGGGAGTCCAGCCTCTTAACCACTATGCCACCTGCTGGCCCCAGTATCTACTATCAGTTGCCATGTCATGATGGAACAATAGAATACCACCAGTGGAAGTTCGTTACCAAGTGTGTTGACTTGTACAATACGGAGCACAAATGCGACTTGGAGGCCATTGTTTGATTTCCAGTGACACAGGCTTTGGTGGCGAAGCTCTCTCTTTAACTGGTAATAAGCATTCTCGGGACGGTTCCTCCTCAAGAGACTAAAATTCTGATTTCTGATGTCGAGAATAAATAAAAATTGAACTAAATTACTGTGCCATCTTGGGCAAAGATTACTGGAGAGTCAGAATCTCATCTGCAATTCAAGGTCACTTTTATTCTGGGCTTAGCACAGTGACACATCACCACTAATTGCAGAGAAATAATTGCAGCTGGCACTTCAGAAGAAATTGTAATCGATTTGTAAAAATATATCAGAAAACCAGAGCCTGGGACCAATGCTGGCCTTCGTTTTTCCTGAGGTAAAACCCGAGGCCAGCGATCTGTGTGAAGGTTGCTTTCCACCTCGTTACTGTAGAGAGTGGCTGAAGGAGCACCGCCTGTCCCCACCACACACTGCCCAGTTCCCGGCCTTGCTCCGGGAGCTCTGTCCCAAGCCTGGGGATGTCAGCTTCCTCCTTTTGGTACAGAATGCTGGTGACTCTCCCAGAGGAATAAGCCAGGGCAGGTTAATAAAATGAAGATAGCCAAGTTTCCATGGGATTAGGCAACATGGCAACCTTGGCCGCTCGAGGGGAGTGGTGGGGACAAAAGCCAGCTGGAGTGAGTTGAAGACTGAATGGGGCAGGCCTGGGACAGCACGAGAGACCAGCGCTCGTCAGAGGCAGGGAGTGGGGAAGAGCCCTGTTATTAGAAGGAATGTGCAGCCATGGAGTTTTATTAGAGCTGAGGCTCTCTAGAGCGTGTTTGTATGCTGATGAAAATGACCTAGTAGGAAGATCATTAAGGGTCAGATTCTCCTTCCCAGAAAGGGTGTTCCTGACCACCTGACAGAACAAACGAGGCAGTGGTGGGGGTGGGGTGAGCTCTAAGAGGTTAATACAAAGTCACCTTCTAAAATCCACCCTCTCCCAACTTCGGTCTTCCTCAATGTAAGATCTACACTGAAAGGACAGATGATTGAACAGGAAGTTCAGTGATGCGATTTAAACTTCAACACACTAAAAAGCACTTGATAGATGCATCAGAGTATGGAGAGGGCCCAGTGGGTAGCACGGTGGCTGAGGCGGCTGGATCTCATATGGCCAAATGTGTGGTTCAAGTACCGGACCCAGGGGCTTGAGGAACACTCCAGGGACAAGTGCGAGCATGCCCCAAATCTCAAAAGGAGATAGATAGGGAGGAGAAGGGATTGCAGCGTGCCCATCCCCCAGGGGGATGCTTTCTTATTCTCTCTCTCTCTCTCTCTCTCTTTCGGGCCCATGCACCCTTAGGTAAATGAAAATACATACATAATGGAGAGAGAGATACCCCGGCCCATATCCATGTCTGCACCCTGCATTTTCCTCCAACTTGAGTTGTGCTTTGGTCATTTTAGAACACTCGTTATCTCAGTGACATGTATTCTACAAAGAGTTAGAGAAAACTTCCATTTGGATCACCCTTTGATTAAGCTATGTTTAACTGTGTCATTGCTACGTCTCATGGCATGTAGCTGCTGAGACCCACCTTAGTATCTGCTGTCCCCCCCCAAAAATCAATATTTAAAAAAATCTCTCAATCTTTTCTCCCTCTTAGTCACCTTCGGGGCTCATGTAGTCATGTGATTTAATCATGTTTGTTGGCATTAAACACACCTGTTAGTAGGGAAAATATTCTTATATTATAGTCCAGTGTAGATGTACATGGCCACTGAAACAGTATACTTTATTGCTCATGTGGAATTTCTTCATCACCGCAGTGTGTGTGTGTGCATGCATTCTTGTGTGTACAAAAGGGAAACTTAGTTTGTAAAGTGTAAGCTCTCCCTCTCCCTCCCCCTGGGGATATGTGTAAAAGAAAGTTTTCTCTCTTCCAGGCATTTCTGTGCACTGGAAAGATAAAGCACGCCTACAGAAAGCAAGGGTAAATACCTTTCTTTCAGAAAGAGCTTACGAATGAAGTTTCCTCCTAGGTTGGTTATGACATATGTTAATCCCGTAGCAGAGAAGTGTGCTCCAACCTCTGGCTGTAGCCCAGTGAATAAGTATATAGTGTTTCAAGTCCTGCTTTTCTGGACTGAAATAGAATATGCATACCACACACACACACACACACACACACACAACCATTCCCCACAACAATCCCTTTATTATTTTCCTATTCTGTATATTCTTTGATGTCTTTTAATGGCTCCCACTAAATTCAAATGTATTTGACTCAAACATACAGTTTGCAAAATTATCTGGTAATTTGTAGATTGAGTTTCAAGTACCTATACAGTGTTTATATGAAGAAGTACTGACATAATGTGGGATTCAATTTATAGGAAAAGTTCAAAATTGGCAAAGCTATAGAGACAGAAAGTAGATTAGTGATTGCCAGGGGCTGCAGATTTTTTTTTAATATTTATTTAATTCTATTTGCTATTATTATCATTTTTAAATTTTGACCAGAGAGAGAAAGGGAAAGTGAGAAAGCAACGCTCCAGGTCCAGGATTTGAACCTTGGTGGGCCATGTGGGAATCCAGCACTCTTAACCACCACGCCACCTGCCAGTCCTGGCCAGGGGCTACAGATTGAGGGTAACAGCAAAGGAGAGTGGAGAGTCTTAGGTGCAATGAAAATATTCCACAATTTGTTATGGTGATGGTTGAACAACCCTGACTATTCTGAAAACCACTGGATTGTATGCCTTAAATGGTTGAATGATACAGTATGTGAACTGTATTTCAATAAAGCTGTTTTAAAAAAGAAAAGCTACTATTGGGGCCAGCAGGTTGCATGGTGGTTAAGGTACTGGATTCCCACATGGCCAAACATGGTTCAAGTCCTGGACCCAGTGGCTTGAAAATGACAACAAATAAATATATAAATAAATGTAAAAAAAAAAAATTTAAAGAAGAAAAAGAAGAAGAAGAAGAACTACTAGATTGTTCTTTAAAAGGCTTAAATGAAGTTGAAAAGGAAAGGAAAGTACTCATTCTTCTTGGGGAGTCCTGTTTTAAGTCATGGTGTCTTTGCTTCTTTAATTTGGGAGTTTGGTCATTTGTCAAATGATAGGATTTTCCTAAATCTAGATTTCCTCATCTGTAAAATAGGAGTGAATACACTACCCTGCTATGCCACCCGCTAAATTAGCTGGTGTTAGTAAGGGACGAACACAAACATTCACACATATGTACTGGGGGCTTCAAAGTTCACTGAAAAAGTGGAATTCAAGTGTGAGTTTATTTTGTTGCAGAAAAATTTTGAAATTTATACGTAGTTTTCTCATAAGGCTCATTTTAATGGCCTTTTTAAAGCTCTAATATGTATGTGTAAGAATGTGCCTGGCCAGGGCCAGCAGGTGGTGTAGTGGCTAAGGTGCTGGACTCCCACATGACTAGCTGCGGTTCAAGTCCCAAACTGGCAACTTCGAAATCATGCCAGCATGTGTGTGTGCGTGCCCAAAATTGTGAGAGGAGGTTGGAGGAGAAGGGATTGCAGCATGGCTGTGCCCCCTGAGCAGTGATTTCTTGCTTTCTGTTTCTGGTGAGCACACGCACCCTATAGCAAAAATCTCTGTTAAAAAAAAAAAAAAAAAGCTAGTACGTGGTCTGCAGCAAGCACTAGATAAGTGTGCCTTGAATTACAATGTGCATGCATCATTTGGTAAATCAGATGCCTGTGATTTCTCCAGGCACAATAAGAAGCAAACATACTCCTGTGGAAAGCCTTTCTTAAAGCCTAACAAATAGAGAACTACATGGTCAATACACAGACATACTTAAAGAGATATTTCATTGTTTAAATTTGGAAGCAAAGTGAATATGACACCTTATTAAAAATGTTGTAAATTAATCAAGCTGCTGAGGACCAGGCAAAGACGTTAACCTGGGTTAGTGTCTGGGTTGTTTGTGTTACTGGTTTTTTTTTCCCCAACTAAACCAGCCATCCTTTGGGTTGAGACATTTGGCTTTGAAAAGTCACTCCTAACTTTCTCAATTCTTCTGTCCCCAGCACTTGGACAATATTCACAGAGAAGTTAAACTTCTTTTTTTTTTGGGGGGGGGGAGGTTTTTACTATAGGGCATGTGCACTCTCCAGAAAGAGAGAGACAGAGAGATAGAAAGCGAGAAATCACCCCACAAGGGGAATGGCCATGCCACAATCCCTTCTTCTCCATTCTCCTCCTGGGATCTTGGGCACGCATGCACACGCGCCCGGCGTGAGTTTAAGCCACCAAGTCCGGGACTTGAACCGTGGTCGACTACATGGGAGTTCAGTGACATAGTCATTACACTAACTGCTGGTCCCAGAAGTTAAACTTACTTCTTGAAGCAATCCTCAATCTTATGTTAGATTTTGAAGGGGTAACTTTACGTAGCAAAAGTCATTGTGTATTCATTTTTAATACACTGTCAGGACAAAGTAATGATTGAAGTGAAAAACAAAACAAAACAAAAGAAAAAACACCTCTTACCTGATTTTAGAAATAGGAGAAGTAAAAGGATCACTTCTTTATGTTCCATCGTGGGACTGGCCAGCAGCATCTGGAGAGCAGTGTGTCCGTCCCGTTCAGGATGTGTCGACTGACATCCACAGACTAGACAGTTAAAGGAAGTTAATGATTCTCCGGGAGGCCCAGGCAAGCCATCAGAACGTGCAAACATTACCTGGGGCAGATCTTACAACACTGGAGAGCAGAGTGCGATAATGCTGGGAAGTGGTGAAAGCTGCCCCCCACCCCAGGCAGCACTGCTGTCCTTCCTCCTTCCTCCCCTCCCCCAGCCTCCATCTTCCCATTTAGTCTTACTCCCCTCCCTCTTGCTACATTCCCATTCTTCTGGATTAAAGGATAGGATAGCTCACAGAGTGTCTCCTGATGGCAGACATTGCCACGTGGTGCCAGCCCATAGTCTCACTCCACCTCCACAATATGCCAAATTACTAGCCTCATCTTCTTTCTTTCTTTCTCTTCCTTCCTTCCTTCCTTTCTTCTTTCTTTCTTTCTTCTTCTCTTTCTTTCTTTTCTCTCTCTCTCTCTCTTTCTCTTTTTGCCATTAGGCATGTGCACTCACTCACCAGAGAGAGACAGAAACAGTGAGAGAGAAAGAGAGAAATCACCCTCCAAAGAGGATGGTCACACCAGGTAATCCCTTTTCCTCCATTCTCCTCTCAGGATTTTGGGCATGCATGCACACATACCCAGCAGGAGATTCAAGACACGAGGTCCAGGATTCAAACTGTGATCAGCCACATGGGAGTCCAGCACCTTAATCACCATGCAACTTGTTGGCCCCAGTCTTATTTTAATATGAGGAAAACAACTCTTCCCAAGTTTACATAACTAACAAGGAATAAAACTGATAGATAACAAATGGCTTAGATCTTAGATTATAAAACTAAGCTAGAACATTATTGCTATCAGCCCCACATCCTACCAAACAGTGTAGAAATTCTATAGTGTAGAACTGTGTTGTGATTACCGATTTATTTAGCCCTGGTGGACTCACATTTCTCCATAATTGTGTTATAAAGTGTTGATATTTTCTTCCAAATGAATTCACAATGCATTATATTCTCATTCTCACAAAATAAAGCAAGAGTGGTAGAATCGAGTTGAAAGAATTTAGTTGTTAAATGTGAACTTTGTCCAGGATTACAACTAGAATGACCAGATAGTACATGCTTTAAAACATTTATTTAGTGTTCAAAAGTATTTAGGAATAGAGTTGACCCTTGAACAACATGGGTTCGAACTGTTCAGGTTCACTTTTATTTAAAAATAAATGCTATAAACATTTTTCTTCTGATTTAGATTTTTTTTAACATTTTATTAGTTATTATTACTTTTTAATTTGACCAGAGAAAGATGGGGTGGGAGAGAGTGAGAAAGCAAGCCACCAGGTCTTGGACTCGAACCATGGTAAGCCATGTGGGAGTCTAGCACCTTAACCCCCATACCACTTGTTGGCGCTTATGATTGTCTTAATACTATTTTCTGTGTTCTGGCTTACTTTAGTGTCTGAATAATACATGTTACATAATACAAGTAACATATATAATACATGTTACATAATACATGTAACATACAAAGTATGTGCTAATAGACTGTTCATGCTATTGAGAAGGCTTCTGGTCAACAGTAGACTATTGGTGGTTACATTTTAGGGTGCCAGACTCTCCACTTGGATTTCTGACTGCACAATGGCTTATGCCCCCAATCCCATGCTGTTCAGGGGGCAACTGCAGTTCAATTAACCTCTGTATTTTAAATGTGAAATAACACAGGAAAGCATTTCCTTCTCTTCCCAGGCTATGAAATCCCCTTCTACAAATGGACAGGTAAAGTGTAGAGATAGGCCCCAGATTTTCTAGGGGAGCCTCCTGCAGAATTCCTTGGCATTCAAGACTGAAGAATTCTCAAGACCCAAGTGCTCTGCCATCATGTGAGGGCATGACCTAACCTAGTTTCCTGATGGTCTTTTTTAGCCTGTCTTCCCCTTCCCGCCTTCACCTCTCCCTCTCATCAAATGGCCCACCTCAGGACTAGCAGGTCGCATAGTGGCTAAGACACTGGATTCCCACATGACTGACTGGTTTGAATCTCAGACCCAGCAGCTCAAAACACACACCAGGCACGCGTGTGCGCATGCCCATAATCTTGAGAGGCGAATGGAGGTGAAGGAATTGTGGCATGGCCACAAAATCACCCCGGAGTAGGGGGGAGGATGATTTCTCATTTTCTGTCTCTTTCCATGTCTCTGGGAAGTATATGCACCATATAGCAAATATCTCTCTCTCAAAAATAAATAAATAAAGCCTAGCTCATCAAAGGGTACAGGAGGTGGATGCAATTCAAGACATACATTAATAGTGGGCAGAATTTTCTTTCTTGAAAATAATGTGAAGTGTCCTTTACAGGCCAATGTTGACATGTTCTAGAAAGTACTCTGGGGGAGGAACAGTCTCTGCTAACATATCATGTGTCCATTACGTGTTCCTTTCCACTAACATTTATCTAGCGCTTCCCCCTGGGGGAGGTACCCACCTACTGTCCTGTTCCTGCTGGTACTGACTCCGATGTGGATGATGCTAGTGCACCTTCCGCCCCTTTGCCTGGGCAGTTCGAGGACGCACTAGGTTGTGCTAATGCTGTTGTGTAAATCAGGTTCCCTCCCAGTGGCCTTCCCCCCCACACACCCCGGTCTTCTCTACCTCATGATTCCAGCACGGTGGTGGGGCAGACCAACTGTGAGCAGAGCTCGGAGGGGTACCACTGGGGTCTGTAGTGTGTAAAGAGAAGAACAAAGAGGAGTGCACTGCTTGTGTGTAGGCTGGGTGGGTGCTGGGAGCCTGCCATCGAGGGACGGCCCCATGCGATCTAGTTTCACGGCACAGGGCGGGCGTGAACGATGGACTGCTTTAGGTCATGTGCAGGAAGCCCACACTGCACTCATCCATCTGGGGATTTTAGCCCATGGCTCTAATTCCAAAGTAAATTTTTCTCTACCTGAAAGAATGGCCACAACTGAGTAAGAAGATATAGTAAGAGCAGACCAGCAGATGGCATAACGGTTGTCACTAGACATACACGTAATTGACCGCAGTTCCAGTCTTGGACCCAGAGACTTAAAACTCGCACTGGGTGCATGTGAGTTTATGCCCAAAATCCCAAGGGAGACATGGAGGAGAAGGGATTGCAGTGTGGCCATTCACCCGGGGAGTGATTTCTCACCTTTTTTTCCTCCATCTCTGTCTCTCTGGTGAGCACATGTGCCCTATAGCAAAAATTTCTCTTGGAACCAGCAGATGGTGTAATGGTTACCTCACTGGACTTCCATGTAGTCGCAGTTTGAATCCCAGACCCAGTGGCTGCAAACACACCAGACACGTGTGTATGCATGTCCAAAATCCAGAGAGGAGAATGGAGGAGAAGGGATTGTGGCCATCCCCCCGGGGGTGATTTCTCACTTTCTGTCTCTCTGTCTCTCTCTGTCTCTGGGGCAAGCGCACATGCCCTGTAGTGAAAATTTCTCTTAAAAAAAAAGAAAAAAAAACTCTCTTAAAACATATGCTATAGGAAGAGCTATTGTTTCTGTATCTCTGCAAGCCATTATCAGGTTTCACAGATTCCGAGATCCATGCATTCTTACCTAGCTCAGGTATTTGTTGACCACTGACTGGATGCAGGATTGTATTAGATTAGTTTAGGATCATATTTAAAAAAAAAAAAAACACAGTCTCTACCCTTCCCAGTCTTGACCCAGAAGGAGGTCCCAGAAACACTGGCACCTAAGATTTGAGGAGATTCTGCTGCTGAACGGGGACAAGGACATTCCAGTGAGGTGGGGGGGAGGATGACTCTAGTTTTCTTACCTCTGCTCAGCCCGGGCCCTGCGGCTAAGCTCCTCACAGGCCTCTCTGGAAGGCAAGAACCAGAGGTCGTCCTCACCAGGTGAGTGGGTGGAGCCCGTGGTCAGTGCCACCTGCAGTGGAGGCTGATCCATGTCCCAGCTGCCCAGGGGACCAGCCCACAGATGAGCATGGGCACTGCAGCCTGAGGCAGGCAGCCTCTTCCCACAGTGACTCCCCGCCCCAGCCCCATCCCTGCTCCACTCCCCGGAA